CTTTTTTATCAGTACCGGGGATCGAACTCACAACCACACACTTGTAAGCCAGGCGCTTATGCCGCTGAGCTAAATCCCCAGCCCCTTTAATTTGATTTTAAATCTGTATTTTCAGGGATGGGGATTTAGCTCAGTGGCATAAGTACCTGCCTTGCAAGCAGGCAGTCGTGAGTTTGATCCCCGGTACCGATAAAAAGAAAAAGAAGAAAAGAAAAAAAATCTGTATTTTCATTTCTTCTATTTCTTCCAAATGCTAAGACCCAGGAATCTGTACCACATCAGGGAAGGAATAAGGCTGCATGTGCACCCTGTGCCCACCACTACTGGAAGACTCCCTCCCTCAAGCAGTCCATTCGAGTCCACTGCAGTTATGCCAAAAGTTCATTGAGTTTCATGTCCTCAACCTGCTCTCATTTGGAATGTTTTGAAGTTCATTTACCTGAGAATAACATTTCTGAAACCCTTGTTGGTAAAAAGAAAAAAAATGTTAAGGAATGGGGCTCCCAGAGGCTGAGATATTTTCCATATACTAGCATTGTCTCCCCTGTTCCTATTTTCTTATCCCTAAAATGAGAGTATCATGTTGTGGTTTGAGTCTGGATGTCCTCCCAAAGCCTCATGCAGTCAGGGAGGTGGGTTCTAGAGTTTGTGAATGACTCATGATCCAATGCTGGGATTATGGCTGTTAGTGCCACACTCAAGTGGGTGTGGCCTACATATAACATAAGGAGTAGTGAGTCTTCTTACTGTGTTCCTCCCCTTTTACTCTTGTTGCTTGTGCTGTTTTCTGCTGCCATTAAGTGTTGCCCTCTGCCATGTGTCACTCTGTTTTGGAGCCAGCTGATTATGAAGTGAAACCTCCAAAAACTGTGAGCTAAGTAACTCTTTTCTTCCTTAATTTTGGGGGTTGGATATTTTATCTCAGCAGCAAGAATAAAAGGAACCCAGACAGGTCATTTTAGGGATTAAATATGAAAACCCATATAAATTGCTTAATTCCTAGCAGTAAATGCCCAATAAGTGACACATTTTCAGAAAAGCATTGTGGTTAAGGGAGTACACAGCAGGAGGGACAGTGGGAGAAATACAGTTACTTTAAATAATTGCAAAATCTGTATCTTTTAATTCATAAAAGTTAATTGACTGGCTAGTCCAAACAAGTCTTGTTTCCCTTCAAATTCTGCTTCTTTTTTAAGGATATCATTCCATTTTCTTACTTTACTTCTTCAATTCCATTTCTTACTTTATTTTATGTATGATTTGCATAGTCCGTGGATGTTTCTGGTAAGATAAATTAGGATATTTCCCCAGTATTTCCAAACAACTGGTCTGAGATATCTTTGTTAGAAATGCAAAATTTACAAATGTAATACATTCAATGCAGTCTTCTCCCTCTAGCTCATACATTAAAAACTTGGCTGTGAACACGAGTTTGGTCTTCCTCTGATAAAGCAGTGTCACATACTGAAGTGACAATGGGGCCCACAATTTCTCCCACAGCACCTGCACTATGCCTTTGCTGGGCTTAGACTATCTAGCCATTTACACAAGTTGGATTCGCATGCTGAGCTTTTACTAGCTGGACTTACATGTTGATGCCCTAAGTTCTGTGCTCTTTAAGCTGCATCTCTTCCATAACCAGGCTACACATTAATGTAGTAGGAGCTCTTGTCACTGCCTCTGCCACTAGAAATGTGTGTGACATTTTTCAAATATCACAGAAGCCACCACAACTCCACAATATTTTTCACATGGACAGGCTGGGAATTTTTCTAATATTTGTGTTCCAGTTCTCTTTTAATTCTAAATATTTTGATTAAATTATTCTCTTTTCTCAATATACTGTGTGCACCAAAAACCAAATGAATAAACAAAAACAAAAAACAAGATAGTGCCATGATACATTGCTGCTTAGACATTTCTTCTGTAAGATATTTGTTGCATCACTCTGTAGTTCCGTCTCTGAAAAAGCACTAGAGCAGAAATACAAATTTCTCCAACTTACTACAACTCTGTAACAGAGATGGCCTTTTCACATCCTTCTCATAACTCCTTCCCCATGAAATTGCAGGGGAATGGCCCGTGTGTTCTATTTATTTTCCAATTATTTTGTTTTGTTTTGTTTTGATTTTGCAATGCTCTCTTGACTACTTAAGTAATTCCAAAGAAGATTTAGCTTATCCTCTCTGGTCTTATGGTCTTCTGCTTCCTCAGCAGAATGGCAGCTGTAGTGTTTAAACTTAAGTGTTACTTTGATTTCCTTGGGAGCTGCCTAGGGGGCTAGTAAAGCACAATTCTAGATGTGTCTGCAAGTGTTATGGAGGCTGCCCTTCAGTACTGTGTGGGGGCTATGGACCCTTACACTGGTGCTGTTTCCGCTTCCCAGTTTTCTGGAATGGACAATTTTTCTCTACCACACCCTGTAGTTTTCATATTTCAGCCTTGCAACTAGATGGTCATCAACTGAAAGCTCTGATCAACTATTATCCAAATAAGCCATTAGTTACTTTAAGAGATGGAAGTCAAATATTTGACTCAAGTTATTGGAAATGGTACTACCTGCTTTGTAGTGCTCTGATCACAAAAATCCAGGCCTTGTCTAGCCTGCACCTCCAAATTCTTTTAGCCATATCACCAAGTTCTAAATCTTCTCTCATATTTTTAAGGTTTTTTTTGCATAAAAACTGTCAAATTTATTAGCCTTAGTTTTTTGTCTTTGTCTGTTTCTGCTACCATAACACAATATGGGTCACTGAGTAACCTAAATTGCACAATGATACCATTGTTATATTAACTTGTGACAATATAGTCAAGGACATTATACTGACTTTCCAGAAAGCATTGTCATACATTTCTTAACACTGTTGTGGCTATCCTTTTTGGGATTCTTTTAAGTCAACATTTACAAGTGAAAATTTCAGGTAATAAGGGAGGCCTCTATCCACTTGAAAAATATTATGCAACACAGGTGCTCGTGTCTATTGCAGTCAGTTTGATTCGAGCATGAATAATGGCCAGATACTTGTTTGCCTTGAAGTTTTGCCTGCGTGGATGAGAATGATTTGTAGAGGAAATATGTGGTTTTGATAGGCAAGGAGTTTCTGGAGTCAGGCTGAACAAGGTACACACATTAAAAAAAAAGTGTGAAGTACAGTCATTGTAAAACCTCAATCACGTAATTATTTGGAGAATGAACTGAGGCATTTGGAAGTTTATTTATGAGCCACACATAACTGAATTGCATTAGGGATTTATTTTTTTACTTGTTTAGTTACAGGAGCAAAATAACTGACATATAGAACTTAAGAACTTTATAATACCTAATGAGATAGACAATTCGTTTAAAGGAAACAAGAGACATTATGGTAACCATTGTTGATAACCTTGTACTCTGTTCTTACATCACGTACTATGTCTATCCTTGGTTTTGACTGACAGCTTTGTTTTGCCATATTTGACTTTATTCTATTCCAAAAAAAAGTAATAAGAACTAAGGAGCAATAAAACCCAAAATGTGTAAATTTTGTTGTAAAAAAGAGAGGAAAAAAAAAGTGCTCTAAAGGATACAATTGCAAGTGTGTTTAGGGGTGTTAAATAGCTGACCATATTAATGTTTTTGGTTGGATCATTGAACACAACTGTTTGCAGTCTCTCTGAATGTTCACTTTGTATGCTTTGATATTGTGACTTGAGCAACTATCTCTAAGACGATAATGTGCAATCTATTAACTGGTGATTTCTTACTTTTTTTTTTTTTTGTAGTTCTGTATTACTTGTACCCTTACACCGCTTTGTTTTGTTTTGTTTTTTCTCTTTTTCCTTTTAAATAAAATTTTAAAAAAAGAACTTAAGAAAAATACCTGTATTTAGTCTCATTGTTTTAGAGATTTTAGTCTGGATTTGATTGTTTCCAATATTCTATTTCGTTGGCAAATAGAAATGAAGAAGAAAAAGTAACTTGACCAGTTCAAGGAGCCAGAGTGTAGGGAAGGAACCTTAGAAGAAAGAGCAATGAACCAGATGTGATCAATCAGGTCAAACTCGCATGAATCCACCAGGCACACCTAGAAATGTACTTTACTAATACCCTACATATCTCTCAATAAAAACATGATGTTAACAAGTGTATCATATAGTTCCTAAGCAATGTTTTCTTTCTAGGAATATTGAAGTCCTGAAGAGGCAGTTTCAGTCTATAAGAAGTTAGCTACAGAGTATGATAAGCTTAGAGTTTGAAGTATTTCATGGTCCCTGCCTCATCACAATTAAATAGGTGGATGAGCAGTGGGGCTCCATCTCAGCAATCATTCTGACATCATGCTTGTCAATATGCTGACTTCCATTGTTTTGGTTTGTTTGCTTGTTTGTTGCTCTGGATATGTATACCAAGCTCCCTGAGGGAGTGGAAATGTTTTCGCATCTTTCCTCTTTTGTCTTTTACAGATTATCATTGATTAATTTTAATTTCTTCATTTACACAATAATTGTGCTCTTTTTAGGGGGCATATATTCACTTTCTTGGCTGGAAATGAATAGATGGGGACAGCTACTGTTAAAATCTTTACAATGAAACCTGCTGCCTCATTCCAAAATAGTAACCTGACAAATAGCCTCTTCTCCCTCTGTTCCATGATGCCCTGGCCTGGCCTGACTCAGGATGTTTTCTGACATCAGGGCATTGATTCTTTCCTTGAATATTGACCCTAGGGCTGTCTGAACACATTTGTGTTCCATTTTCAGGAAAAGTCCAGTGGGTCCTTGAGGAAAGCAGGAATACAAGTGAAAAGCCCTCAGGCAAGGTGAGTTCCATATTTTACAAGACAGCCTGGTCCAGAAGTCCCTGTGAAAGTCATTCATTTGGGATCCACATTAACAGGCAGGGATTTGTTTCTATATTTATTTATGGCTCAGAGGAAGGGCGATAGACAGGGACCCAATCAGCCGATGAAGGGGCGGGCTGTATGAACTGTCCAATCAGGCGCGCCAAATTCGGAGGGTTCTTCCGGTGTCATGGCGTGGATGTGTGTGTTCTGAGCGCGTTTTCCGGAACAGAATGCTTACTAGACCGTCTCCTGTTGTTTCTACTGGCTACGGCCTGCTTAGGAAAGACCCGGAGAGACCCTCAAGCCACGTAATGGTGACGTTGTGGGACGGGATCTCTAAGATGGGGTGGCATTAGGGTGAGATCCGGTTACTAGTGGTCTCTACCAGCTATAATGGCTCGAGCTTGAGGCTTAGCCTCAGACCCTTCTGAGGTCCTTCTGCACTGGCAATGAGACCTCCTCTGTCCGTTTTGCCACTTGCTGGGGCAAGGCTAGTTCTGGGTTTCAAGTACCTTGTCCCCCACTCGCCCATAATACTGTGTTGAGAAACCTGCAGCCCTCGCATCTCCACCATTCTAGAGAGCGGAAGGGGTTTGGGAGACCCTGACTGACATGTAGTTTAGACTGGATGCAGCTGTGTGGAGCTGGATCTCTGCCAGCAGCAGTTCTGGAGGAGATGAAGCTTATAAATAAATGTTTGTGATGCGAGGTCTCACAGCCAAGACGCCTTTTTTTCAAACATCTGCTTTTTTATGTTTGTAGCGAGGTCCTACATTTCCAAACTCATAGATGTTGACAGAGTCCTGAGAAATCAGAGAAGTGTGGCGATGTATCTTTCCAAACACTTGGTGAACTCCTGAATTCCATAGAGGGTGATGTAAAAGATATGCATACTCCCTACTGAATTGTTTAGGTGACACCCGTACTCACAATTAAGATTATTGAAGTGAGGACCGCCAGAGTTTTAAAATTCACAGAAAAATGGGGGAGATGTTAAAGTATTAGCAAGGGCAGGGGAAGTGTACCTGCTAAAGATAACTGCCAGAAGGGTCAGCCTGTTAGCTTCTCACTGAGAAAGGCCAGAAATTGGAGCATTTCCATGCACTTGTATATGTGATGTGTCTTATGAGTGGAAAGGGATCTGATGTCATCTTCTCTGAATTCATAGCTTTATAGCTTGACCTAATGGTAGATGTTGTTTAAATACTGAAATGCTCTCTAGGGTAGGCTTTAATGGAGCACTGCAGTAGAGGAAAAGCCCCAAATAGAAACTGTGCATGGAAATCAATTTTTGTAAAGGTATTAGAAACTTTATAGTGCTTAACTTTTTTCCACACTTTTATTTCTTCTGTTTCTAATACTGTTATCATTTTATTATTTCTACCTCTTCATTTCAGTTGTGCATTTTATATCGCTCTGTTTTATGTTGTCTGCTAAGAAATTTGGTAGGATTGTGCCCCAATGTTTTCTAATTTTCCAGGGTTAACTGTATCTATTTATAACTAATCTAAAACCACTTTGAACATCCTATTGTTTCAGGGACAGTCTTACAATTTACGAAATTCATAAGTACTTTCTATCCTATTGTTTCATCTTGTAAGGTTAAATTTTATTAATCCTGAATTCATAAACTTACATCAATAAAGAATTAGAGAAACAGATTCAGAAGAAGAGAAAAGAAAATACTTTATTTGAAAGATGAGAGAAATATGAGGAAATAGACAATTGCTTTGTTGGAGTAAGGTAGGGAGCCCAGAGCTGCCACCTGAGGGCCTTCGTTCTTAGCCCCTTTTGTAATTGGGCAGTGTAACATATGTAAGTAGCAGAGACCAGTAGGCTTGTGTGAATGCAGCATAGCAATGAAATTTATTGTGCCTGGGTTCAGACAGAAAGTGTGATAAGAACTTCTGCTGCAAACAGAGAGATACGTGTTCCTTTTATAGGGATGGAGAGAAGACAGGGAACATTAGGTGGGAATGTTCCAATGGACGTGTATGGTTACAGTTTTCTGGCAATCTTGCATCTCAGTGGGCAGAGTCCTTCTAATGTAAATTGTAAGTTCTTGGATGTCTCCCAATATCTCCGGGACTTGGCAGAGTTTCTCTTCCTATTTGTCTCCTTTCCTGTGCTAGCTGATGGCAGCTTTGAGTGCTGAGCTGAGTTCCCTATAGACAGGAGTGCTGTTGCTGGCCAACAGGCTGTGGGCTGGGAGAGTCAGGCCGGGTTGGAGACTTATAAGCAGTTCCTTTAGAAATAGTTCACCAGTCAAGTGTTCCTGTTCCTTTGTGCCTCAAACAGTGATTTGAATGAGACAAGCCAATAGTGGTGCCCAAAAGTATTTTTGAAAAGTACAGTGTGAATGAGTATGGAAGAAATCAGCTGTGTTGAGCTAACTTGGGCCAAACTAAGAGTAAAGGAGGATAAAAGCAACACTTAAACGGCACAGGTGTGCCTGAGGAACATGGTTTGCACTACCATTGGAACTCAGGCATGATAGGGGCTTTCTGCATTGGCTGCTCCTCTTTTATGCCCTCCACATCTCATGGGAGCTGGAGAGAAACTCTAGGTTCCTCGAAGTTCCTTGGAACCTTGTGTATGACAGGTCCCCCACATTTCCCACTTTGTGTAGTCCCTGTGTCATCTCAAATTTATAGCAGAGCCTTCCATGCAAGGCTGACTTAGCGATGAGCCAAAGGGATACATGTACATTTTAGTGCAGTTACATGGTGAGAGAAGAATGAGATCTACATGTATATATGCATCTGTGTGTGTACATGCATGGGAGAGTACATATTTTATATACTGAGTTTTCTCTAATACAGCCCCTTCCCCCCATGATGCCTCTTTTGTACTTAAGTGGAGATAGAGAAGTGTACTAACTTTAATTGGTGCCCTGGCTGGCTAAATGGAGCCAGCCTGCTCATCAGTTTTCTGTTTCTTTTCCTGTTTGCTCTGCCTAGCGAAGACTTTTTGGTCCATTTGACAGGAACTTCATAGAAGCCCTTACAGTTCTGTTATGGTTGATACATTGTGTCAACTTGAGACCTCTAGAAGTTTAATGAAAGACTCAGCAGGGACCTAGGGCTTTTACTTTGTAAACATCCTCATCCTTTGCAAAGGAGGGCAAGGAGATACTGTGAGTGCTACATCTGCCCTGAGCTGTGGGGTGGGGGGTGACCTGTGTATGATAGAAGGGAGGAGAAGAGGCTTGTTTTTCCCCTTTTGCTCTGGCAGCTGCAGTGAAGTGTTGCCCCAGTGCTATGCCACTCTGCCTTGCAGCCAGCTAATAATGCACTGAAACCTCCAAAAACTGTAAGGTAAATAAAGCTTTCTTTCCTTCATTTTGGGTGTCAGGTATTTTGTCCCAGCAACAAGCGAAAAGTAAAAGTAACCGAGATGATTTCCCTGCCTCTTTCCACAGATTCCCTAAACTGCATTGTTACTCATTTCAAATCAGTGCTAATAAGAATCTAGCAATTTGTTGATGTCAGTTTGACTATAACTTCTCAATTGTATAGTAGAGTCTTGGGGCAAAACATTTTTTTATTCGTCTCTGCACTCATTTAACTTTTGTATTTTGGTAATGTGTAAATCTAATGACATTATATAAATAGGGTTTTTTTGCTTTTAGATTTTTTCTTAGTTTGCCTCCACCACGTTGTATAATTAAGGCCATTGCCTTATTTTGTTTATGAAATCTTTCATTGCTCATTTTCAGATCTTGTTTGCTTTGTTCACTGTATTCCTTTCAGAGTCATATTTTTGTCTTCCTCTGGGGTGTTTGTTGTTGCTGATTGATCAGGATTGAACAGTTGATGAGTCTCATGAGCTGAAAGTCAAAATCACATCCTCCTTTTTCACTGTTTGGGGAGGAAGATTAGTGTGCCTTAAATTGAATAGTTCTTGCAAAGCGTTTCTGTGTAGAAATGTTCCGTTTTCAGACTTTGAAGAAGTGTTTCTTTTCTAGTCAATACTTACTGGAAAAGCAGAATTTTCAAAAATGCTTTGCTTTTTCCCACTAGATTCTCAGAAAAATTATAAAGAATTTCTTTTTTTGTGAAACTTACTGTGAAAACCTGTTTTGTGTGATAAAACTGACAAATTTTTAGCTCTTATAAATTGATCCAAAGGGATTTGATCTCTCAAGCTTCTCTCATTCTTGTACATCAAGGTACTTTAATCTTGTCTACTCTTGTGCTCCTGGTTTTCTGTCCCAGTAATTTATAATTTTGTCAATTTACTTCATTTTTCTAATTTGGAAACATGGATGGTTTACTCTGGAAGTACTGTGGATTTTAAATGTTCTAGCTCTTTTGTCACTTAGAAAAGGTGAATGCTTTCTGTATCATTCCAGCTAACCCAGAATGTAGAAATGTGTGAATGATTTTTTTTTTGCATTTTAGTAACAATATTTAATGCTCTACACTCCTTTCATTTGTGTCCCTTTTGAAGACAATGTAATCATAGTACCAGGCAATTTTGTAGACTCAACATACTTGTCCTCACAGGGTGGGAGACCGGATGGGCCTCAGAATTGCTGCCCATCCCCTCTGTTGGAGGGTTCCATGAAAAATAGATGGGTGGATGGCACCCCAGTTTCCCCTTCTCTTTTCCCACAAGAGTTGAATCTGTGCTGCCCATGTCCAGGTGCTGACCTTCTGGTGCAACACTGACCCACACCCATTTTTGCCTGCAGCTCTGTTTTCCTGCTGCCCCAAGTAGAGACATTAGCCCTGGCACTGCCTGGATTACATGGGGCACAAGGGCAGATGTCAGAAAACATGGAAAAGTTATGAGACTTCTTCTTAACAGTGGTTATTTAGAAATGATAAAAAAGAGAAGTTGGAATTGTTTTTAATTTTAGAAGTCTGCTGATTGATTCCCAAGAATATTTTACTCATTGTAAAAATAGTCCACTTTGGTACCAGTTGCTCTCGCGACTTAGACTAGTGAATGACTCCTATGACAAAGAGTTTGAATAGCTCTCTCCCATGTATGGTGATAACGTGTTGGAATCATTATGCACTTCTCACCTTTGAAACCTGCAAGGCATTTTTAAGCAAACAGTTCCAAATAGTAAAAGATACAAAAACACAGAAAATCAGAAAGGCCAGTTTGACAAAACTCAGAGATAATATCCTTTACTGTCAATTTCAGAGATAGCTAAGATTTGGAATGAAGCTAGAAGTGCCAAGCACTGACTCAGTGCTCATAGAAAGGAATGTTTGGGCCAGTGTATAAGAGACAGAGAACTGGAGCAGAAGAGAAAAAAAGTGTCATCTGAACCTATAGACTTAAGCTAGCCATGTCTCATGTGATCCAAGCAGTGCCTTCTGACCTGACTGTCTCCTCTGTGACTCAAAACATGCATTCTGCTGTGAAAAGCGCACTTCTGAACTATGATGCCTTTCCTTCTACGGACTATGACAATGTACTTTTGTAACATGCCCCGCTAGCATGGCAGTGCATTCTCATGACAGGCTGCATGTTTGCCAAACATATGGCCATTTTTCTCGTTGGGCCATCAAGTCTGACTATGCAGATTCCTGCACCTTCTCATCTGAGCCAATCATGGGCTGTTCCTCTATGGTAGTTACCAGACCAGCTCTGTAGCACACATCCCACATCTGATACTGGAACTTTTAAAATGTGAGCCAGACAAGCCTCAAGTTCAAGTCAAAATCAATTGGACTTAGGTGCAGAATGACAGATCAAACCTCTTCTCCACTGTTGAGGCAGCCAGGATTAGTATCTTCTAGAATTCATATCTCTCTAGAATTTGTGACACCTGAGTGCAAAGTGGTCACTTGGTGACACTGAGATGTAAGATAATTTAACATTGTCTGTTTTCATCCTTTTCTATTTAATAGGGAGTAAAACAAAATAGTAAAACGAAACAAAACAAAACAAAACAGTGATAGGACAGTAAGAAATCACAATTGTTACTATATCTCATATTGTTATCCTCTGAACAGTGGCCTAGACTACCAGCCCCAGGTCTGCAAAGTTGTAACTCAGGCTGAGAGGATAATAACAAGTAGGGAAATAACCTGACATTTACATTGTTTGACTGTATTCATTCTTTATAAACTTGTTCCAATCAAACTTTTTCTAATAACATTTTAATTACTCATATACTATATTTGATATTCAATTATGGTTTTTATTTGAAATCAAATTCTAAATGCTGTTTGACTGCAAGTGAAGAAGCAAGGATATAAATGCCATAAATAATAAGAATGCCATATATAATGAGTTAAAGACAATTCATGATCTATCAGAGCCATTCATTAGGTATTCATTTCCCTGTGTTTTGTGCCTGTGTCTTGTATGCTTCCTCTATGAGCTCTGGTTTAGATGCAGTATGCAGATATCCTGGCAGTGACCCAGGAAAAGATCCATTGCTCCTATTCTGCTGTTGCATTGACAATGAGTGGCAATGTAGAATGGCTTTCTGAAAAAAATGTACATACACCTGAAATTGATGACCAAGACATAGAATTAATATTTGAAAGATTCAGCCTCCATTCAGCGGTTTTGTTCTGTTCAGTTTTATCCAGTAAAGGTGTCAGTATGTAGTTCAGGCCTCATCGTAGAGCCCACGCTGGTTTTGAACTCAGAGCAATCATCCTGCCTCAGACTCCTGAGGACTGTGATTCCAGATATGCACCATCACACCTGGCTCTCAATTGAAATTTTTATAACAGGTATTGAGATATCCCAAGTTGTGAATCTCAACCTTCCTTTGAGAAATATATGTATGGTCATTTAGGAGGCAGTGACCTTTGAGGATGTGGCTGTGAACTTCACCAGTGAGGAGTGGGCTTTGCTGAATTCATCCCAGAAGAAGCTCTACAGAGATGTGATGGGGGAAACTTTTAGGAACATGGTAACTATAGGTAAGGATGACATTTCTTTCTCATTTTTACAATCAGAGAATAAATCAGAGAATATGTTTTTGCTCATCAATGCTGTTTCATTAAAAAATATGACAGTACTTTGAAGACCATCTCAGTACTGGTTCCATTATATTATGAATCTGATTTGAATGTGTTAATTTTTTGTTATAATTCTTCCTTTCTTTCTCTCTCTCTCTCTCTCTCTCTCTCTCTTTCTTTTTTTCTTTCTCTGGTACTGGGGATCGAACGCATGATCTCACACATGATCTGGTGCTGGGGATCCAACGCATGATCTCACTTACGCCACTGAGCTAAATCCCTGACCCTAATTCTTCTATTTCTGTGTCTATAATTCAGGAAGGACCTCTGATGACCAGGAAGTTGAAGGAGCATACCAAGATTACTGGAGATATCTAAGGTAATTTGCACACACAAGGAATTAGAATGTTCCTCATATTTCAGTGGGGGAAGAAGAAACATGATAATCAAGACATGAGGCCAGGTTCAAATTAATGTCACAAACATTCTCCAAAGATTGAGTCTGCATACAGCTTGAGTTTTTATAATGTTATAATTGAACATGAGCATGTATGAAATTTCATTTAGATTTTGTATGTAGGGCTGTATCACAAGAATAGTTTTTGAATTTTTACAGGCACCCTATTAACAGATATTCTATAGGATACCTGTTCATGTATAGATGTGAATAGAGCACTTTCAGTTATCTAAACATTCCTAAACTTGAAGCAGTATTCAATCTGCAAGTGAATTCTCTTGTTTTAGCAGGTGATTTTAAGCCATTGTCCAGATTCAACATTTAACATTTTAGAAGGCATCCTCCAACATTGCTAGTGAAATGTTAAGTACCACCAGTATGAGAATGAGCACACAGATACCTTAAAAAGGAAAAATAGCAGTTGCATTTGTCCAGGCATACCTCTCCTGTTAAAAATCATATTGTACAGATACACAATACCCATACACAAAGCAGGTCAATTTATAAGATTTTAGTCCTGTAATCAGCTTATACATCCATGGATGAAGGAAATTGTTGATAGGCTTAGTGTATTACTGTACTTTGATAAACCCAGCACTCTGGGAAGCAGATTCTGCAGGATGACAAGTTGAAGCTCAGCCTGCAGAACTCATTCATCAATGAGAATCTCTCAAACTATGAAATAAAAATACTGGAGATTTTATGCTAAGACCTTTGTTTAATTCCCAGCACTGAAAAGAAAATGTCCTATACCTTCAACCAAAAAGGTGGGTAATATCAGGTCGTTAGTCAAAAGAAATAGATGTATCTTTCTCCCATACAAAGTTAAGTGAGAAAGTTCAGGCAAAAAATGTGAAATATTACATGATTTCTTGCTGCAACCTGTGTAGTTCTTGAAATTTTTGGGGTACAGGACAAGGATCATGAGAGGATGAGAAAATAAAGAAGAGGCAAATCTGGGGTGGAGCCCTTATCCTCCTGATGGGAGGAAAGGTACTAGCCCCTCACTGCAGGGGCATTTATACCGTTTGGCAACTAAATGTCACATGACACCCTATTGTCCTAGCAGCCCACTCTTCAGATTGTCTTGGGTAGGTGTTCCCTGGGCTGAAGCAGCTTCTTTTTGTGGCTTGTCCCAGGCACTCTTTTTTTCTTGGGATGGTCATGCTCTAGCTTTGCATGTGTGGTCAATTTCCAGCTTCAGTGGCTCCCAACATATCCAAATCTTTTGTTTTGTTGTTGCACAGTATGGGGTCCACTGAAGCTGGAGGAGCTGTTAGGAGAAATCCCACATTTTAAACCTTTGTAGTTCATTAATCCATTACAGTAGATAACAGAGTAGCCAATAATTGTCAGTTATGAAGATCTTTTCAACAGACTCAGTTTAGCCTTTGTTTGATTGCATTATCTTTCTACTATAGTATTTCCATCATTATCAGATTTTTAAAAATTTTTAAATGGTATATACTGCCAAGTGAAATTGTATAGGTGAACTCCCCCTTTTGTTTTTTGAAATTTAAATTGTGAGCCCATTTAATTATTTTTAAACCTGAGGATTATAAGGACTTTTTGTGGTATGATACAAAGGAAAAAAAACTGCATTATGTATTTAGGCACTTTGGCCTCTCCTTTGCCATTTGTGATTTCTACCTCAGGCTGTGGCTTCTTTCTCCCTGCCTGGAGTGGATGGGCATTGCTGGCTGATGTGCATGGGAAGATTCCAGGCTGCTATGGGGCACACGCATGACCACTGTCATGGCCACTGTTGCCCCTAGTGTACCCCAGATGTTGGGCAGTTGTGCTCCTGCTCTGACCTGAAGGCTCAGCTATTGTTAGAGACCTTAGTGAAGGCAGTGCCAGTGCCTAGTAAACTTCTGATGCATAAAGCTCAGGCACAGGTGATGGGAAAAGACAGAGGTAGCTTGGGTGTGCCACAGCTCTAACCCACCTTTCCAGAGCCATGTTCTACCTTGCCCTAGGCTGAGTGCTCTGGAGGCATCACCGGTGGGCTGGCCATTGAAAGGCTTGTTAAGCCCCAGTGGAGTCTGTTCCTCCTTGGTTTGAGAAAATTCCCAAACCAAGCCAAACCAAACCAAACTAAACTGAAGAGAGGACTTAGCACCAAGGAGATAAAAAGGCAGCATTTGGGGCTGGGGATTTAGCTCAGTGGCATAAGCGCCTGCCTTGCGAGCAGGCAGTCATGAGTTCAATCCCCGGTATCGATAAAAAGGAAAAAGACCAAAAAAAAAAAAAAAAAGAAGGCAGCATTTAATCTTTACATGGGTGGACTATTGGATTTTCACACCAGCAGATGTTGTGGGGATAATTCCTCAAAAGCAAAAGCACTGAATTTAGGAAAAGTTTAGTTCATATAGAGTTGAGAAATGAGAGGTATAAAAAATTACATAATTGGTTACATGCATTGAGTCATATATTAACAAGCAGGCTGGTCTTGAAACAATAGAACACTGGAACAAGAGGAAAGGACCCTTACAGAATGAGCACAGTTAAGGGTATTACTTATAATAGGAACATTATAGGAAGGGGCCTTTGAATTAGCCCAGGATGCCTTAAGGTATAGGGAATTACTCAGACTCAGTGCTCATCAGAAGTAGGCAGCTGGGCTGTAGACACTGTCAAGGTCAGTTGAACTCACCAGAAACAGCAAAATAGCAACTTAGAAACAACTAATTGATCATGAAATATCTGTAAGTTTGCTGCCTCATAAATGTGTTTGTACATTATAATTTGCCTCAACAAGCACACAGGAGGCAGGGCTGCAAATCCTGTGGTACTGGTCCTGCTTCACCAAGCCAGGCCAGGTCAGGCCAGCACAGTGAAGTTCTCAGTACCTCTTACCATTTGGCCTGAAATGGTTTATTTGGACCCTGCTGACTGAGAAATTAAATCACTGGAGGTTTTCCCTGAACAAGGATGTTCCTTCCATGCCCTTGTGGGTACAATTCTAAGTTGATCAAATATTTGCATCTAAAACAAGTGGACTGCCTGTAGTTTCCTCTCCAATTAACATATCTTTTGTATGGGCTAAATTTTGAGCAGCACTGTGAAAGGCCCCATCTGTACATAATTTGAAAAACATTTTTTCCACAACAAATAATTTCCTGGACTTAAACATGTTTTAGCTATTTCTTTTCAATCATTTGGGGCTGTAATCTGTCATCTTAGAAGTTGTATAAAACCCAAGGCAAATGGGCTGGGAAGGAATTGAGAAAGCACCCCTGTGGAGGTAGGCCCCACTAGAGGATTTTCTGGAACAGGTACGCTTTGTGCATCAGTTTTGAATTTACATCGAGTGACCCAATGATATCATTGTCTACACTTTGTACAGACAGTTCAAGGTTTTGTTGAAGGGACAGTTGTGGCTATGTTGTCCCCACAGATGCAGAAGCACAATTTTTGGCAAAATGCTCCCTCCCTTTGTAACAAAAACAAGTAGCTTTGTTTTTTTTCTTCCTTTAGGTCTGTGAACTAATGACTTGAGTGATTATAATTTGTCTCCAACTATTGAGGATTAGAAGTTTAGTAAGAGTAGATATGCTGGAAACCCTCTATGTATTCCCCCACCCATCTGACTTCTTTTAGCACCAAATGCAAGGGAGACAGAAAAACCACTCTCCTCCCTGAGAGGCAGACGTTTTAACCTGTGACATTGCAAAATTTCTCTGAGCTGAAGAGGTAGGGATAGCTGCTTGTGGCTCAATTAAAAATATCAGGTGTTGTAAAATAGAATTTGCAGCATAACTCTCCTGCTGTGAGGAAGAGTTACAACAGTTAGGGTTTTTCAGCACAATAAAGAAGCAAAAAGAAAGAAAAAGTGACCTTTATTGAGGGCGCAAAGAGAAGTGTACCACTTAGGGGGTTGGTCAGTCTCCTCTGATAGAAACAGAGAGGACTGGGTGTATGTGACCTGACTGAAAGTGGTGCTTGGGTGACACACGAGGAACTGATTGGAATTCTGTTCATGTACATGGAAAGGGAAAGAGGAAGTTGTAATCAGGACTGAAGGGGAAGGAGGAGGAACTGGTCATCACTTTGGTCTCCTGCCACAATAATGTCCAGTAATTTATACTATGGCAATAACCTTTTAATAAAGTCTCTCTCTCTATCTGAGCAAGGTTACAAAGCTTATTAAACTTTATTGGAGTTTCTGTTACTCTGTCATCTCTTCCCTGCTTAGGATTTGGTTTTAAAATATAGCTACAGGGCTGGGGATTTAGCTCACCGGCATAAGCACCTGCCTTACAAGCAGGCGGTCGTGAGTTCGATCCCTGGTACCGATAAAAAAAAAAAAAAAAAGACTTGGGGCTGGGGATTTAGCTTAGTGGCATAAGCGCCTGCCTTGCAAGCAGGCAGTCATGAGTTCGATCCCCGGTACCAATAAAAAGGAAAAAGACAAAAAAAAACCAAAAAACATATATAGCTGCAAGCCAATTTCCTTTTGGCCATCCCAACAAGCCCACAATCAGAAAGGTATTTCCTAATCATAATCCACAAAAGAAAAGTAAATACTAGAATCAAGCACACAACAAAAAGTTCCAGATACATTTCCAATTCTTTAACAGTTGTTACATAATTATACTACCAATTAAATCAATATACCTCCCCTCTCAAAAGGTTTCTCTTATTTATTTATTTTGGCAGTATTGGGGATCGAACTCACGACCTCGCACTTGCCAGGCAGGCGCTTATGCTGCTGAGCTAAATCCCCAGCCCTAAAGATGTTGAGTTTATTTATTTATTTTTTTTCCCACAGGCCCATTTATAACTGGACCTAGAGAATAAGGGATTCTTTGAATGCCCCACAATTTACACCTATGAAGCCAATATCAATACACTCCAGTGATGATTATAGACTTACACCAATGCACTTCTCCCCCTAGTTGCATGCACATGAGAAGTGTCCCCTCACCCTCAGACTCCTAACATGTTCATGTTCTGAGGCCATATACCATGAAGCATGTGGCTTTTAAGGCTCTTGGGGTCGAAGGACCAAGGACCATGAGAGGATGAAAAATAAAGAAGAAGCAAAGCTGGGGCCAAGTGGAGATCTTATCCTCCTGATGAGAGGAAAAGTACTGGCCCCTCACTGCAGAGGCATTTATACCTTTTAGCAACTTAATGTCACATGACACCCTGTTGTCCTAGCAACCTACTGTTCAGGTTTTTTTGAGGCTAGGTGTTCTCTGGGCTGAAGCAGCTTCTTCATGTGGCTTGTCCTGGGTGCTCTATTTTACTGGGATGGTCATACTACAGCCTTGCATGTGTGCTCAATTTCCAGGTTCAACAGCTCCCAATAGTTTCTCTTGTATGGAAGCCAACATTATAAATTAGTAAAGGTGACAGATAAAGGGAAGGCTAACTTTTGGAGATGGGAAAGACAAAGTGTGAGGAGAAAAAGAGGAGAGTGATAGGGGAAAATGATAAATATGTGATACATAATATATGCTAATTGCCCAAAATAAAGCTATATGTTCTGTTTTGCAAAATAGAGCAACATAAATATTACCTAATGAATACCACTCTTATGCAACGGCTATTTAGAAGGTATTCTCCAAGGTACTCAGTTAATACTTTTTCAAAATTTCTTAGGCATTAAAACAGCTTGTTCTGTTAAATTTTTAATATGGAGAATCTTTTTATCGTGACTTTCTTAACAGCAGTGAAGATGTAGAGAAATGCTGTCAATATAAAGTTTGGAATCAATATGAAGAAACATTTCTTTGGAATCCAGATACTAAAGAGGACATGAAACAAGCTGATTTAGCAGCAACTGAAAGCCTTGCTTATAAAACACCTCTGAATGGGCATTTGTCACTAAATGTGCCCATTGTAGCTTACATTGCATCAGAGGCATGTAAATGTTTGACATATGAAAAGAAGTCTCATAAGTGTATTCAACATGGAAGAAACTGCTGTGATTCCCAGTCCCATCAGAAGCATGCAAGCACAAAGGCTGGAGAGAAACCTTACAAATATGATCAGCATAGGAAGTCCTACTGTGATCTTAGTGAAAGAGCTCATTTTAGAGATGACTTCCTATGTAATAAAATTTTGAAAGCTTCTGGCACACCCAGTGATGATCAAAACTGGGAAAAAAATCACTGTTGGGGGGAACGTTGTGTTTGTAAGCAATGTGGGAAAGGTTTCAGCACATGGAGTGAATGTAAAATACATGAAAAAGTTCACTCTGAGGAAAAACCTTATGTGTGTAAGCAGTGTGGGAAAGCTTCCGGCACATTTAGTAAACTTAAAATACATGAAAGAGTTCACACTGGAGAGAAGCCTTATTTATGCAAGCAATGTGGAAAAGCTTTCAGCAGACATGTTAATTGTCTAAGACATGAAAAAATTCACACTGGAGAGAAACCTTATGTATGTAAGCTATGTGGCAAAGCTTTCAGCACAAGTGAATATTGTCAGAGTCATGAAAGAATTCATGCTGGGGAGAAACCCTATGTATGTACGCAATGTGGGAAAGCTTTCAGCACACATGGCTATTGTCAAAGACATCAAAGGACTCACAATCTAGGTAAGTTGTATATGTGTAAGCAATGTGGGAAAGCTTTCAGCACACGTGGATATTGTCAAAGACATGAAAGACTTCACTCTGGTGAGAGACCCTATGTGTGTAAGCAATGTGGAAAAGCTTTCAGCACACATGGATATTGTCAGAAACACGAAAGGACTCACAACCAGGATAAACCATATGTGTGTAAGCAATGTGGGAAAACTTTCAGCACAAATCCTGATTGTAAAAGACATGAAAAACTTCATAATGGGGAGAAACCCTATGTGTGTAAGCAATGTGGGAAAGGTTTTAGGACTTACACTCACTGTAAAATACATGAAAGAACTCACACTGGGGAAAAGCCCTATGTGTGTAAGCAATGTGGGAAAGCTTTCAGCACACACAATCACTGTAAAATACATGAAAGAACTCACACTGGGGAAAAGCCCTATGTGTGTAAGCAATGTGGGAAAGCTTTCAGCACACGTGGATATTGTCAGATACATGAAAGAATTCACACTGGGGAGAGACCCTATGTGTGTAAGCAATGTGGAAAAGCTTTCAGAACATGCAGTGATTGTAAAATACATGAAAGAATTCACAGTGAGGAAAAGCCCTATGCATGTAAGCATTGTGGGAAAGCTTTCAGAAGATTTAATCAATGTAAAAGACATGAAGGTCTTCACACTGGGGAAAAACCTTATGTGTGTAAACAGTGTGGGAAAGCTTTCAGCAGAAATGCTCATTTGCAAAGCCATGAAAGAATTCACACTGCATAGAGAAACCTCATGTATGTAAGCAGTATGTGAAAGATTTCACAACAGGTTTGTATTGTCAGAAACATGGAAGAATTCCAATTGAGGAGAAACTAAGCAACGTGGGAAATCTTTCAGGACATGTAAAACTTAAAGAATTCACACTGGGGAGAAACACTAGATAATGATTGATACACTGTCAGCTTGAGAAGTTTAGAAGTTTAAACAGCTCTGCATGAAGCCAGGGAACTCACGTTTTAAACATCCTGAGTCTGCAAGAAGAGGATACTGAGGCAGTGTGAATGCTACACCAGCCCAATGGGATGTAGTCTACTTAAAATACAAGGGAGGAAAAGTGGCTTGCTCTTCACATAGTTTGGCTCTTGCTGTGTTTGCTGTCTTCTGCCATTTACAGTGTTGCCTCTGCCATGCCACCATGCTTTGAAGTCATCTGATTATGGACTGAAACCTCCATAAATTGTACACTAAATAAATCTTTCTTTGATTTTGGGTGTCAGGTATTTTGTCCCAGCAACAAGAGAAAAGTAAGAGATCCTATGCATGTAAACTGTGGCAGACCTTTCAAAATATGTGACATATATCCCATATCCAACTACACACTGCTAAACAAATGAAAGAAGTCCCACTGGAGAGATATGCTTATTTTGAAACTCCTGTGTAAATTTTCATGTATTGGAGCTTACAAATAATTAATATAAAAATTGGATGATAGTATCTCTTTATAAATGTTTTGGAATGTATGAAACCCAGGTGCAGGTATCCTAAAGTACACACATTGTGTAGTTTTCAATAAATTATTCATATACATCTAGATGCTGTGTTTGTAGTGTTTAATATAAAAACATCAAGTTGACATAATGTATTTTTTAATGTCACTATACTTAATGCATGGTGCCTTTCAACTCAATGCAATGAACTGAAAAGTACTTTTTGTTTTCACATACAGTGTATACCTGGTTATCATTTTAGCTTTAACATTGGGAGGTGTAGGTCATTTAAAACTTAATGTCCCCTATTCTGTGTAACATGTTTTTGAGTTTGATGCTGCATTTTATATAAAAATACATATTTTTAGTCTTCTGAGCATGTGCTTTTGACCAAAGTTGAGATGTTTTCACATAACTTATTGATTAGTATGCTATATTCATATGATTACAAGATTACTGGTTGTATCCTAATATCATTGTATATTATTTCATGTATATGACGTTGCATTTTTTTTTCTACTGGAGTCAATATTACGATTTACATATATTTTTATATTTTCTTATTATCCACATTTTGCTTTTCATGTTTATATTGTAATGACTTTTGATTTGATGTAAATTTTCCCACTACATGTACAAAAAATAAATTACACTGCTGTGATATTTTGATCATACATCAACAGGAACATATTATCTCCAAAAGGATATCATGAATTATAGTAATGTCTCCACAAATTATAAATGATGTCATCAATTATAGTAAACTTTTTTGAACAAAGTAATACATTCACAAAGACTGGTTTTAAGTCAGTTTGTTTTTAAGTCAAGGCCACTTTTCCCATAAGAAATCATGAAAATACCCATAATTGGTTCCAAACCTCCCAGGCTACTCCTGTTCATGATGAAAACAGGGTTGTATACTGTGTGTAATTTACCAGAAACACTAGTAATTCTCATAGGTTATTCACTGGTTAGCCAGAAACAAATTTCACAGTGATCACCACTGAAATTTACGTTTGTTTTGAAGGAAGAAGGGATGAAATGGAAGGTAGTTATTGTTTGGAAAGAAAGACAAGTATCAGGAATTGGGGTTCAGACTCATACTTATGTATACTTACTGTCTCCTAGCATGCCAAGTCTTTGTTAACAGTGACAAATTTTGGTCTTAACACAAGACTTCAATTGTAAATTTAACCTAAAATTGCAGTCATAATCCAGGTGGTTCTTAAGTGAGTCTGGTCAAAACTCCAGTTTCTGCTGTATCAGTAATACCACTTTGAAAGGAATTTTTTTCACCCATGGAGTAGTCTTGGGGATAGGGTTTGTCATTAAATGAACAAGGCAAATGCCTTTATTATATTCCCTGATCCTGTGATGCCATTTTATCTTTCGTAGTCATTGCTGCTTTTACCTAAGAAGCTGAACTAGGTAATGGCATGAAGGAAAATCTAATTCCTGTAAGGTATCAGTCTGATTTTATGTTTACTTTATGTGTACATTGTCTCTAGTCTTTCTGGGTCACTTTAGTAATCTTTTGCTCTCTTCACTTTGTCTCTGCCCTCTTCTCCAGGCCAGAGACAAAAGATTACAAGATCATCTTTTGTCCTTGAGCCTTACTTCTACTGTATTCGTCTTTATTTACCTTTCTGTTTTGTCTCACCTCTTTTAAATTTTGCCACTACAGCACAAAATCATTTTACTAAGGATACTTTGCAGACATTGTCCTAACTTATATTGGATATTTTATATAACTAGATATTGCTTATATGGTTAAAGGTACCAAATAAATAGTTTAATAGTCAGTTTCTAGGCTGTGCTTGATGCTAGTCTTATTTGTAATAGTTTTACTTTAGCAGGGCTGTCATATCTGTTGTAACCATTTCTTCTTTGTGTGAGAACATTATATTTTCTGGGCCATAGCCATTGCCATAGTCCTTAATAAATTGGGATGGTGGGCTCTTGGAACAGACACAAAATGAAACTCACCTCCTTTTGAAGACATTTCAGGAGAACTAGCATTTCCTAGGGAAGCCTCAATGATAATAATAAAGCTTCCTATGTAAAGAAATTTATGAACACTCAACTTAAAAAAATTTTTTTAAAATATAAAATGACAAAATGGAGAAGCAAAATGCAACCCAGAACTCCAGTCCACCCAGTGCAAGTCCAAGAGACAGTAGAATAGGGGAAATATGAAACCGCTCACCTAAATTTTCTGAAAGGATGGTAGCAGAAGAAAAAGCACAAAAGAATGAGGCTTTAGAAAAAATAACTACTAGGGGCTGGGGATTTAGCTCCGCGGCATAAGCACCTGCCTTGTAAGCAGGCAGTCATGAGTTCGATCCCCGGTACCGATAAAGAGCAAAAAGACAAAATAAAATAACCACTGGGGTAAAAAATTCATGATCAAAATTAATGACAATAAATCTAGAGTAGACACGTAAAAACAGAGGAGCTTAACAAAATGATGGAAATCATGAATACTAAACAGAAAAGAAATGGAATCTGTGCCAAAAATCCGTAGAGATGTCCCAAAGATACAAAACTCCACTGAAATCTAGTCAGTAAGCTGAACAAAGGTTGGGACAGAATATCAGATCTAGAATACAGGATTGCAGTTAGTTGCTATGAAAATATCTTAAATATAGCAAGGGACCATGAAAAATCAGTCCAACAGCTGCAAGAACGTAACATTGATTGGAGCCAATGAGAAAGCAAGAGATAGCATGTACTTTATTACAAACCTGTTTACAGAAGTTAAAGAGAACTTCCTAAACATGGAAAGAAATTTGATACACAAATCATAACCAAAGTAAATTATGTGAAATCATATGAAAATCAAGACTCTAGAAATTCAGTATAAGGACACAAATATTAAAAATTGTAAGAGCAAAGAAAGAATCACTAACAAAGCAAGGGCCATCAGAATGACAGCAGAATATGCAACACAAGCAATTAAGGAGTGCTTGGAATGAAGTATTCCAAGTCTTGAAACAAAAAGACTATCAGTGAAGAAATAAGATACTTCCATAACAAAGAATGAATGAAGAAATTCATGATCATCAAAGCAGTTCTACAAAATGTTTTGAAGAATATTTTTGAAGAAGGAAAAAAAAGACCAAATGGACATATTCCTAGATACATTTCAGTTATAAAAGCTGAATCTAGAAGATATAAAAAATAATTCAATACCTATCAATGAAATTAAAAATGCTTCTAAAAACTTACTAGCACTGCCAGATATGGTGGCACACCTCAGCATTCCCAGCACTCACGAGGCTGTGTCAAGAGGATTGCCTTAGGGGCTGGAGGTTTAGCTCAGCGGCATAAGCACCTGCCTTGCAAGCAGGCAGTCGTGAGTTCGATCCCCGGTACCGATTAAAAAAAAAAAAAAAAAAAAAAAAAAAGGATTGCCTTGAGTTTGAGGTCAGACTGGGTGCTATAGTGAGTTATAGCCAAGCCTGGATTACAGAACAAGATCCAGTCTGAAAGGAAAAAACAAAGAAAGGAAGCATACTAACAAGAAAAATCACAGAACCTTGTGTACTCACTGCTGAAATTTGTAAATTTTGTTTCTATCTGGTAGCAACAGCCCCAGTGTGTTAGCTGAAGCTTGCCCCAGTGTGAAAGAATCAGATTAATTTTATTTGTTCAAATATGAAGTGGGTGTATGGAGGGGAGGAGGAAAGAAATGAAGGGAAAAGAATTTAGAAAAGGATAAAATGGAAACAAATCTTTGTAAATAAGGAAAGGAAAGTGGTTTAAAGGGAGCAAAAGCAAATGGGGAATAAAGAATCAAGATATGACATTCAGTTACAACTTCTCTATGATGAATGTGGTCATTATGTATACCTAAATTGTACTAATAAACTTAATAAAAAATAAAACCATTGGTATCATGAAAATATAAGTAAACAACTAATTCAACACCCATAACAAAGTGAGCATAGATTGCCCTAGATTTAATTATGCTTAAACACATAAATTGCCACATGTTCTGTAATATCATCTAAAATTATGTATTTTATATCTGAAACATCTGATGTCATTTATGGAATATACTATACTGTACTGTACTATACTATACTGCATTCTTTGCATCATACAACATGTGGCCAGCTTCCCTGCATCATGTATCTGCTTATTTATATCACCAGGAAGATGGGTGGTGTGCATTGCTGTTTCAGCTAATAATAGAATATGAAACTATAGGACACTTGGAGCACATTTATTTTCCCATTATTTTACTATAAAAAGTCTTGCTAGCCCCACTAATGCATGTTTGTAATTCCAGCATCTCAGGAGACAAAAGTGGAAGGAAAAAAAAGTTGATTTCACCTTATTCTACTTAGTGAGGCCTGATCTGAAAATATATGTGAAAGTTCTGCAGATGTAGACCAGTGTCTTAGTACTTCTAGCTTAACTACCCATATCGAAATTATTTAATACTAAAAGTTACATTTCAATGTTTGTTCATTTCTCATTTTACCACTTAATGATTTATCATGAGTATCAGTCTCGCAGTACATTTCATTATGTACTTGCTACCTTGATTGTCCTTTGAGCAGGTGCCATCTTATCCAGTTGGTTCTTGTGTTTAACAAAGTTGTTAAACGTATTACATTTGTATTTCCTGTTATAATGTCTTATAATAATTATAAATGTGCAATTTTTGGTCATCCTATGTATAAATAGTTAGTCTGGTAGGTGGTTAATATATAAAGGTCTAAGCCAAATGTGATTCCTTGAATCCCAGCAACAAAAGAGAATGGGGCAGAGTGATACTGACTTTAAAACTGATTTTGAGAAGCAAATTAGCTGGATGCCTTAGCACACTATGTTACTGTTGTCTTTATACCTGCATTTGAAGTTGGGGAAACACAGAAGTTCAAGAGAAAAATATAACCCAGGAGCTGGGGATTTAGCTCAGTGGCATAAACACCTGCCTTGTAAGCAGGCAGTCGTGAGTTCAATTCCCAGTACCGATAAAAAGGAAAAAAAAAAAAAAAAAGAAAAAAGAAAAGAAAAGAAAAATATAACCCTAGGTTAGGGTAAAAGAAAATAATTCTTGCTGATCATGATTATGTTGCCCAGGAAGTACATTCTTCATGGTAATATTTATACAGCAGTCATAATTATGCCTGTATCTGTGAGAAGCATAAACAGTGAGACAGGAATGAGCCAGATATTCCATGTTCTAAATGTGGAGACGTAAAAAATTTATTTTCTCAATGCTGTTGTTCATGTTTTTGGTAGAAAATAAAATAGAGTGATACAATGAACATAAAGGATTATAGAAAATTTAAAACCTTCTGAACAGACATGGCAGCAAAATAAAAGCATGGAGAAATGACCCACAGAATGGGCAAGTTTTTACCTGATACTCTTCAAAGAACTGATAGCTGAAAACAAACAGGCACATGAAATGAATGCACATTTCTCAGAATAAGTATAAATTGCCTATACACTTGAAAATATGTTGAATATTTTTACCCAGTGGACATGCAAAGTGGGACGAATCTCATTCTAGAAAGAACACATGACCAAGAACTCAAAAGCTTGTTCATGAGGCTGCAATGGAAAAAAGGAGCCATTCTACAGTATTGGTGGGAATGTAAGTCATTCAGCCACTATAGAAGTCAGTGTACAAAATATTTAAAAATCTATAAGTACAATTACTTTCAGTGTATTGCTTCCCTTTGTGGGTATCTTCCTCGGGAGTTAAAGCCATCATATTGCAGTGATCCATGCTAGTCCTGTTTACAGCAGCAATACCCACTTTTCTCTTGGGCAGCAGCAGTGAACCCTGCTCTGTCAGCCATGAGATAGCAATGTTAAACAGCAAGTGCCCTTCAGTATACTTCCCTTAATAAAGTGTGTGACTTTATTATGAAATGGGCTCTAATTAGATAACTTCTTGACTACAGGTCAGTATAAGCATGAAAATGTAGCAAGGGCATCACTGTTATGATCTGTTATGATCATCAGATATAGTATATTAAATATATAATCAGTATGTTTCATTTCAATTTTGGAGGAGTTACTTAAATATTTCCACTTTGCATCTTAAGTAAAATCTGCAAAGATTTCAGCTTTATTGAAGTGATGATGCCCATAACACCAACCTCATTACATTGTGTCCTGTGTACAGTGCTATTAGTGTATTTTTTTTTGTCTTTTTCCTTTTTATCGGTACCAGGGATCGAACTAACAACTGCCTACTTATGCCTGCTTGCAAGGCAGGCGCTTATGCCGCTGAGCTAAATCCCCAGCCTCTATTAGTGTATTTCAGTGAAACATTTGTATACACATGTATATAAGTTTCTTTTCCTACTTTTCTTATGAAAACTTTAAAAAAATCTCCTTAAGTAATCAAAGTCTGCATATTCCTACAGTGGGTGCCTAAGGGATTAAACCCATGGAACCATTGACTTCTCTTATGAAGTTAGAAGCTTCAGAAGAAGAACCTATACAGCAACCGTAGTGCAAGGTAGAAGGCTTAGAAGCCCCATGAGGAATCCCTAGTTAAGGTATGGTTCAAACTCTGAGCACTGCGGTCTGATTTTCTTGGATGACGAAGCACCAAATATCACATCACATCTGTTTGAGACAAAGTATGCAGAAGTTTTTCTTTCTGCTTAACCTTTTGGTCCACCACCAACTTTTCTAATGATAGGTGTCTCCCACTTGGATCAATGGCCCACATAGCAATTATTTTCTCTGGAAAGACACACAGGCTCATATGTTTAAATGCATGTTTCCATCAAGTCATGCTGATAACAAGAGTAAGAGTCCAAAAGCAAAAACTCCTTAATACGACTTTTATTCATACATGCCTGTAATGTATGTTTACATTCATTGCCAGAAGTTTGCACATATGTACAGCACATCTGAGCTCTTCATTTTTCCTTCCCATCTCCTTTGTCCACCTTACATCACTTCTTCATCCTGTTTCATTTGTAAAATGTCTTTTTCTGATTACTGACTTTTAATTTTTTTCTTGTAAAAGTGGAAGACAAACAGAATACCTATAATAGTGAGTCATTTTTAAATAGCAGCATCCTGAATATACAAGTGTATAATGATTTCAGCAGCCTTCCTATGTTTCTAAAGATAATGCACAGAATATGATTCCAATAAGGAGAATCCCAAATGATAGGTATGAGATAACACTGTGAGCCTGGAAATGGAAAGACAAAATTGTGAAACACAAGTGTGTGATAGTCACAGGCATGCAAGTTCAGTACATGAGAACTAAAGCATCAAATTAATCTACTAAAATCTTTGATGCAGGGCTGCATGATTTTTGAGCCACACGCCGTGCATCTATATGTCCAGTAGATGTGTCCAAGGCTGTGGAAGTAGGTAAAGTATTTATAATCTTTTTATCCAAAAATGAATTCTGCTAGCTTTTAGCACAGTCCAATAGTATTAAAAATTTCAAAATAAAAAATGACAATGTTCAAATCATGCCATTCTCAGCATGATTAAACATAATGACACATCATTTTCTCAACTTACCTCATAATATAGCTATTGTGTGATGTCAGACCATGGCAAGAAGAGTGAATAGAACAGGGGCAACATTCAGAGAGACAGCATGTTCACATGACACTGATTACACCATGGATAATAACCATTATAGTATTAAGTAATATGAATGTAGGTGGGCATAATTTATCAATTAAAAATTTTCATAGTCACATGTTAAGCGAATGAGTGTGTATATATGTGTGTGTTAGTGACTACTGGTTGAAGCATATGTTAGACAAATGAAATCATATCCCTTTCAGAGAGGTCACTAGGTTTTTTAAATTTAAATAGAGAGGTACACAATTCCTATATGTCTGACTTATCACAACAGGAAAAAAGACAGGATAAACGTTGTCTGAAAGAGAGACAAGACTGATTAACTTACCAAATGACAAACAGCATGTAAATTGCCCCAAAACAACTACTCTTCCATTTTCATGTCTAAATCACACAGATGCTTGAAAACTTTCTATCTTTGCCTCAGGGAAGTACCATGTTTTCACATGAAGTGTGACTGAATCTCAAGAGAAATAAATTTAAGCAGGTATAAAATTTTGAAAAGAAAATGCATTTATAGAACATTGAGGATTTACTGTAAAAAGATAGGACAGGTGCACAGTAATGGAGCTGAGACAGTGAGACTGTTTCAAATGGCACCAAGAACACAGACATTACCAGGCAGACAGCACCAGGAGACAAGCATCCCCTAGGGCTTGGGAGAACTATGAGGCTGAAGGAACATAGGTGAGTTCATGTTTGATAAGTTATTACCCAAACCAGTTTGGCTACATATTATGAATTTGTAATCATCTTTGTTGCCTCAAAAGGATTTTTATTTGTCCATATTTAAATCCACATTAAGTGTCTTGGCATTCCTCATTTGTACTTCATGATGTAACATAATATGAACCATGAATTCTCACAAAGTCATGTTCAGTGATTTGAATTCAATAATCTTCACTTATTTAATCTAAAAATGTTGTCATGTAGATGGATCATAGCTTGAAAATGAGGCCAAACTTGAGCATGGAGAAAAAAAGCAATGAATTTTCGTTTGTACTTTCTGGGCAGCAGTCTTCCCTGTAGGTGGTCTCCAAGCGAAGATATAACACCAACAGAATGAGTAAGAACCTTGAAAAGGCACAAAGTGGTGAAGGGCTACGGAGGCGTGCAGACGGCAAAAGCCACGGCCTTATCATTTTTCTGATATTGTAACCCCATTGACCTGGGGAATCTCTAACACGATATTGGCATGCATAGATTTACTAACAGTCTATAATTTTTGTGCATGAAAATTTGTGGTCAGGCTCAGAGACAGATTCCTTTATGTAGTTTCTAGACACTTTCAGTGAGAGCCTCAGAGTGACTCCAGGTAAGGCTGTTCCTCTGGTAAATACTAGGGTGGAAGGAAGTTGTATTTTTATGGTGGAAAAAGGGAGCAGCAGGCCATTTGTCAGTTCTCAGAGTTAATATTTTTACTTGTTGCCTCTTCACCAGAATTCACTGTGGCACTGCATTTGAAAAATCTTTCTCCCCCTCCACATGGAAAAGATATTTATAACTGTGTGAACGTGGATTTACCTTTGCCCATGGATGAAGCACGTGATTTTCCTTCTTTCCTGATTATTCTATAGAATATTGTTCTGAATAAGTGCAATATATGTGTTTCTTAGTAACTATATTCCCTTGTTTTGTTTTCCTTTTTTTTTTTTTTTTTTTTTTTTTTGTAAAATGGATCAAGCTAGGTGTGATTCTGCATTCCTGTAACCTGAGAACTCAGAAGCCAACACGAAAGGATTGCGGATATACAGGTTTGAAGTCATGCTGAGAAAGTTGGCAACATACTAAGACCCTGTCTCAAAAACATGAGTGATTGAGGATATAGATTGGTACAAATGCCCTGAATTTAATTCCAATCTTGAAAAAGTAAAATAGGATTAGTGGATTGAATAAACATGAGAAAGCCTTATCAGTGAATTCAGCTACTTCATTTCACACTACTCAAAGATGACATTGCTTTGCTAGGAGGCCTGATATTCTCCAGGCAGCCCTCTTTTCTGAGTTCTTTTGAATCCTTCAGCCATAGTCTAGAAACCTAAGCACACTTATTGCTCTATTTTCAGGAAAGAGAAGCATGAAAGGCCCACTAACTACACTTAGAAGTTGCCTGCCGTGGAAAGCCAGAAGCAAGTTGAGTTTAAATGCAATCAGTCATTGGTGGATCATTTCAATACCCCATGAGATGGTCTTGGATGGGATCTGTCACTTTGCCACATAAGGGATCATTTCTACTGTTCTCTTGGGTCTCAGAGGGTGCATTTGTGATCTTCAGCTATTAAGAGATGCAGGTTAGCTGTATGAGCTGTACAGAAGAGGAGTAACAGAAAAATCAGTCTGATCCATAATGTAGAGCCTTCCTTAATTTTTCATGGTGATACATTAGACCTAGCTGAGAAATAGCACAAGTTTCAGGCACCCTACCCTAGGTGAATTACTTGTTCTATAGGAACTGTATAGGCTGAGAAGCCAGAAATCTAATTGAGGTGTTGCATCCTCTGAGATGGATACAGATTATTTTGGATATGCTAAACCCAGGGCCCTCCCATGAATTCTTCAAAGTCTGTGACCTGTCCTCTTTTTTGTTTTACTCTCAGTTCCTTCTGGCCTGTGGTATGGTGCTCAGCTCATAGTGCAGACCCCAGCATCCTGTCTTATTTCTGCTTCAACTTCAGTCTTACAGCAAACACAACATTACCAGCAGTACTCCTGAAGCCCTATGTCTTGTGTTCTCTGGTGACTTCAGAATGTCATGAGAATCGTCAGGCTCATGTGCTGATTTTTTGTTTGCCCTAGACTGTTTTACTAGAGCAAAAATTAAAAAAATGATTCATCATAGTGTTCTGTAACCCTTGTTCTGTAGATTAAGGAATGAAAATATTAAGCTAATTACCATATACAAATATAGTAATTTAAAAGATCCTTTTGGTAGGTGGGGAGTGATGGTTTCCAACACTATGATAATTGTATACTTAAACAAGAATGCCTAATTTAGAGGTTAAAAATGTGATCCAGTCATAGGTGGAAGGAAATTAAGTTTTTCTCAAGTAGAAAAAAAAGTTTAAATCGAACTTGTGTCCTAAAGCTGAATTTTCCACTTTTTAAAAATTTTTATTTTCTTTAAGAAAAGAAAAAGAAAAAGAAAAAAAATAGAAAAAATGAGAGAAAAGTAGAATTCAGAATTTTAAAAAATTAACATCATAAAATTGCTAATTGATACATTACATTTTGTGTCATCTTAACAATAGTTGTTAAAGTTACAAAATCAAAGCATAAAAAGTGGCTAGACACTCAAACATTGAATTTCCCACTTTTAAAATGATGGTTTTTACTTGTCTCCTATTTACGTATCTTTATTTCTTTCAATATACCCCTCAAAGTCTTTTGATTATTTTTTTCATAAAGGATGTAGAAGCCAGCTGGCCTGTGTTTTGTAAGTGCTTCTGGCCAAGAAAGGGCATTTATCAGGTCTAGCCATGGATCAAATGTCTCAACCTGAGTATATGATAAGGAGACAAAGATTTTCTTTTGATGAACCTTTGCTAGTGTAGCAATGGTCCAAGAACATTAGCTAGTTATTGAAACTTAAGCATTATTTTATAGTCATGTTTAATCGCAGGAGTATGAAATTGTAACTAGAATGTTAATGAATAGTGGCAGAAATTAGTAGCACTAGGCCTAAGCCATTTATCTTTTATATTGACCTCAATTTTGTGATGTTTACCCAAACATAACAGTTGAAGTTTAAGTGCATATAGGCGCTTTCCTGTTTTATTTATAAGAAGTTTAAAGTCCTTATAATTTAATTAGAATGACAAATGAGCAGACTAAATATAATTATCTGTTTTTATGACCACAGAGTGTTGCCAGATTATAAGGATTTCCTTGGAATCATGGTAGGTATTTCTCTTTTATGATCCTTTTAGCTTAGTATAAGCTGTTTGAATCTAGTTCTCTGGAGTCCAACAATCTGCCTGTTGAGATTGGAGATTGGGTGACTCATCAGTGTAGTAGGATCCTTTGAGTTTATCCAATCATGTCCTTGGTCCTCATTGACCTTAACGCAGTATGTTTCCCCACCAATCTCTTTTTTTTTTTTTTTTGTCTTTTTTTGAGATGAGGTCTCGCTATGCAGTTCAGGCGGGCCTTGAGCTCACTTTGTAGCCCAGGCTGGTCTCGAACTCAAATGATCCTCCCACCTCAGCCTCCCGAGTGCTGGGATTATAGGTGTGAGCCACTACGCCTGACTCTCCTCACCAATCTCATTCAAGGGTGGATGGAAAGTTATTCTCTTGAATAGATTATCTCAGTACTTAAACATACCAGAAAAAGTGCTTGCTAGGCATTTTGATTGCAGCTATTATTGCAGCCACCACATTTGCCACTACTGCAATCACAGCAACAATTATTTTGTCTCACTTTGGCCAGGCTGCTAAAACTATAAATGGTTAACTCCAAAATGTTACCTGAGAATTATCAACTCAAACTAATATTAATAAATCCTACAAAGACTTGACATACTTGAGGCAGGCGGTTCGCTGACTCAGGGAACATCAGCAGACATGTAGTCAGCTTAGTTGCCACGCTAGGTATCACTCAGTGTGCACTGTGTATCCCTTTCAACCATTCTGAATCTCATCAGGAGTTCCATTACCTTCTCATGGTGCCTTTCATACAAATTTGAAGATAGGAGGCCAATTTCAAGCTCAAATTAATAAACTTCAAATGGAGGCTTGGAACATGGCTTTAAACCATCTCAATGACATGTCTTACTGGTTCAGGTTTAAAATTGGATCCCTAATCTCAACATTTGCATTTGGATTTTTACAGCTATTTGAATAATCTTTTCCTGCTGTTTCTTGCAGTCCTAAAAGCATTTCTTAGACTGTTTGAATGAAAGCTCTGTGAGGAAACCAAGATGACCTTCCTATGCCAAACTCAATACTTTTTTACTCTGTACTCTCTTCTGCTTATTCTGGATAATAAAACAGAAAATGGGAAGATGTATAAAGTCTCTGGTCAAGAGAGTGACTTGTGTGAATATGAAGAGGAAGGGACCCTCTCGACAAGAGTCAGAGGTTCCTGGAATGCATGTTTAAATATTAGAGCAGCTCTGAAGGACAAAAGTCAGTAGAAATAAAAGGAAGATACTTTCAGAGATGCTTGTTTTGGCCACCATATTCTCTCTACATTGATAACCTCGCTTAAACCATGTCAGGATATGCCATGTAGCAATTCATCTGACTTATTGCCTATACCTTGGCCAAAGCTCCTACAAAAATTCATTTTTGTTCTCAGGCCTTGACTCTCAGCAATCTTTCATCCTGTATGCTGCCAGTGTTGCTCAATTTGCTAATTTGATATTGGAAGCTGAAACCTGGTGGGAAAAGTTGTGTCACTAGGGATGTGGCCTGAAGGGGATACCTCTTTGCCTCCTCCCTTGATCCCTGATTACTAGGATGCAGACTGACCTGTTCCATGCAGTTTTCCTGAATTGAAGTCAACTAGTCAATGCAGGGCTTGCTTTGGTTTTGACTTACTTCATTGGGCCCGTGACATAAGAGAATTTGTTCACTGATGAGGACGTACAAGAAAACTCTGTTCTATCCAGGTCATGTTTTTGTAATTCTGAACTCATTTCTAATCAAAATGTAAAAATATAAAGGCAGTGAAACAAAGCATAGAGAGAAATGCACTGAAGCATAACTTAAAACAACTTACTCAATTACAGTTGAAGTACATTTTAATTATTACATACCTGTCAAAGCCTTACAGCCTGTGAAATTTAAAGGACTTGACAAAGTAGGGTTTACTGGCCAGAATCTTTTCTCTCTACTTTTTTCCCATGCTTGCTGTTTTCCAATGCAAATCCTGACTTCAGAGCTCCAAGAGAAAGTCAAAGACTGTGGGCATATCTTAAGACTCCGCATCCTGTTACAAAAGCAAACAAAAATGAAAGGCTGGAACCTATCACCCCTTGATTTTTCCTCCAGCCTGTAAACAACTCTTAACTATTTTTCAGTGATAAGCCTGAGCAAATGAAAACTCAGGGATCCAGGAAGGGAAGCCTCAACACTTGCTACTGTGCTTCTAACTCCTGAAATCACAAGGCCTCCCATTCATCTCTCCTGTGTACTGTTATTCCACCTTGGATTTAAATTGTCAGTATCCACAAGAACAGTGATGTTTAGAAAAACCACATCTTTTTATTCACCCTTCAGTTGATGGTCATTTGGGTTGTTTCCAAGATTTAGCTATTACTGTAGCAGAAAATAACCACAGTCAGTATTCTTCAATTTCTGTTAGTTGCCCACATAACAGCTCCTGTTGCAGTTCCTGTTTCTGTTGTCTCCTAGAAACAGCTGGCCACTGTGATGATAGCTGGTCACTATGATGCATATTTTAAGAACCAATCAAAGACAGCCAAGTCCTCTATCTCTGTATTTTCCTTTTGCAACACCATAAAAACATCACTCCCTGAATCTTTGGGGCCTGGTATTTTTTCTGCTTTTTTTGTCTTTTTCCTTTTTATTGGTACCGGGGATTGAACTCACAACTGCCTGCTTGCAAGGCAAGCGCTTATTGCCGCTGAGCTAAATCCCCAGCCCGGGGCCTGGTATTTTTATCAGGAACAGTTCCTTGTCAGTGCCCATCAACATAAATAATCTGCATCCAAATCCTGGGTGTCATTTTGGTGTCTCTGCTTGCTGTTGCACTGCAGAACTGTGCTACTGTAAACATGGGTACACACATATAATGCTTGTGATTACTTAGGGAAGACACAAAGAAAGGGAATAGTTGGGTCAAATGGAACCTATAGTACTAGGTTTCTGAGGAATCTTCACACTGATCGGTACAGTTGTTATACTAGTCTACACTTCTAGCAGCAGTGAAGGAGTTTTCCTTTTTTCCCCATAGTCCCACTAAAATTTGTTATTGGTGAATTTCTTGTTGATAGTCATTTTTCCTGGAGTGAGATGAAATCTCAGCATTGTTCTAATTTGTAAATCTCTATGGAATGGAATAGTACTCAGCCATAAAAAAGTGAACTTGAGACATTTATAATGAGATGATGGACCTTGAGACCATAATCTTAAGTGAAATAAATTAGGTACATGTTTAACGTTACATTGTCTTTTTTGTGTCAGAAACTGAAAATGTAAATAAGAAGCAAAATGTATAATATAGAGTGTGAAGTGGGAAATACTTGTTCACAGGAAAGGGGAATGGGGAAGGGAAGGAAGAGAAAAGATAAAAATGAAAAAAGATAAAATGCAAATAAAGCTTTGTAAAGAAGGAGGGAAGAGGGGCTGGGGATTTAGCTCAGCGGCATAAGCGCCTGCCTTGCAAGCAGGCAGTCATGAGTTCAATGCCTGGTACCAATAAAAAGGAAAAAGACCAAAAAAAAAAAACGAAGAAGGAGGAGGGGAGGGGCGGGAGATTTAGCTCAGCGGCATAAGTGCCTGCCTTACAAGGAGATGGTTGTGAGTTTGATCCCCGGTACTGATAAAAAGATTAAAAAAAAAAAAAAAAAAAGGAGAGGAAGAGAGATTGAAGAGAGGAGAGAGAAATGAGAAAAAAAGAAACGAGATAAATCATGTATAGGTACAAATTCCATGTAATGAATGAAATCATTAAGTATATTTAAATTGTTCAATATATTTAATGATTTTAAAAAAGAAGTCTTATGCCTTTCCTACTGCTTCCACCATGGTGGGCCTTGCCAACATTCCTGCAGCCCTCCGTTTTTTCCCATCTTATTATTGAGATACTCTCATCGCCTAGATGGTAATGTGACTCCTTCCATGGAACATCACCATTCCTCTTATTTTATGTTTCTGCAACTTTCTATGCATTTAATTTTTTTAAATTTTATCTTCTTTTGGACTTCAGTGGCCCATTTGAATTTCTGATTTTTTTAATTGGTACATGGCTGCAAGTCCCACATCTATATTGCTGGTGAGAATGTCACAATACTTAGCTGAAGGCTGTCACAAAAATAAATCTTTGCAGGCAATTCTAAACTAAAGTACCAAGAGACACACAGATATCTTCATATAATAGTGTGAAAACTTCTGTAAGAAAATCTTCAGTAAATGGAAAAAAAACATGTGATATTTCCAAAATTAAAAATATTTAAACCTCAAAATTTGTAGAACATTTTCTAAGCTGACTGCCATGGACAGAAAGCCTTGATGCCATTACATCAATTATTTCCCAAAGTACATTCAATTCTTTTACATTTCTAATGAATGAAGTAAATAGGATATGTTAATAAATTTTATTAACATATCCTATTACTTGTCAGAAACTAAAGTAGGGCAGAACTATACTCTCTGCAGTAAAGTGTTTAACCAGACACATCATGTGGCCATAGTCATTTTAACTTTAACTTGATAACTTTTATTTCACTTGATTCAAACATAATGATAAATAAAACTGCATATATTTCAAAAGTATAATTAGATATTTCAATATATGTCTACATAGGTAATGCTTTCTGCTCTCTAGTATGTATATCTTTCACATAACACCTTTGAGATGTGAAAAGACTTAAATCTATTATCATCAATTTCAACCACATTTATGGTGCCATAACATTTAGCACAGTCATCAAGGTATTTCTACATTCTGTTTGTACTGTAAAGAGAAATATCAACAGCTTTCATTAACATATCCCTATTTTCAACCCTGTACACATCAACTATCATTAAATTTTCTACTTTTATCAGATTACTGCAGATGCTAAGTATGAATATGATCATGCAGTAATTTTTCTGCACAGAATACTCCTCTTTATGATCTTCAGGTTCATCAAAGTTGTAATGAATGGCAGGTAAGGTATCCATTTTTGAGACTATATGCTATCCCAGTGTATAATACTTGACCCTATTCTTGTACACTTAAACACTGTTATGGAGGCAAAGGTTCTCTAAATACCATATTCTGTACATTTTGTTACAACCTGATTTGTTCTCTGGAAGAGTATCATGCAGATTCTAAGGAGATTAACACCGATGTTTTAGAAGAAAATCACTGGGACATACTCTAGAACGATACATTCCATTTTTTCTCTTTTGTTCAAAATATTTCTTCAGGGGCTGGGGATTTAGCTCAGTGGCATAAGCGCCTGCCTTCAAGCAGGCAGTCCTGAGTTCGATCCCCTGTACCGATAAAAAGACAAAAAATAAATAAAAAAAAATATTTCTTCAGTGCAAATGGAAATATAGGTATCCTAGATTCTGACTTTATTCCAATAGTTACAAATAATTTCAATTATTTTTCTATTTTCTGTTAAAAAATTTGCAGGTTTTCAGGTAGTGAGGTTCAACTCAGATTTGTACAATGTTAAGCAAGTCCTCGCATTACTTCACCTGCCCTCAGTTCAACTTCTTGAGTGCAATCCTATTACTATTAAAAAGATGACACTCTTCGTAAACTGAGGCAATTTCTGACAAAAAGTTGATGTATTATTATATTTCTTTTCCTATGCACAAGTGTTCAGATTGAGCAAATGATAAAGAAAAGCAATTTATTTGAGGTCAGCGAATTATGGGAGCCAATCTTACTGGGCTCTCAATTTATTCACACTGGCATCTCCCTCTCATACTTTATTATTTTTTTTATTTTATTTTTTGTCTTTTTCCTTTTTATCGGTACCAGGAATCAAACTCACGACTGTCTGCTTGTAAGGCAGGCGCTTATGCCACTGAGCTAAATCCCCAGCCCTTCCCTCTCATACTTTAAAAGATAATATTTGCAGTGCTGGCTTACTGCAATTATGCTCTCCAAAATTTGAATCTTGTTTATTCATGATTTCCAACAGTTCAGGAAAACACTGCCTTGTTCAATCTATCACCTGCAGAAAACTATACTTCTTTCCACTCATTTTAGCTCTTATGAAAGATTATTTTGTTCAGTTTTTTATTTCATTCTAACTAAAAAAGAAATAAAGACAAAAAGGTCAATGTCACATCCTACAACTGATACATCTTCTTGAACATGAAACAAAGTTTTCCATTTTCCTCTGGATGAACTTGCTGTATACTAGCAAAAGAACTTTGTTATGTTTGTGTTATTCCAAAGTACCTGTTATGCCTCTATACTGCTCTGTATACATTCCCTCCCCCTGTGACCTAATTGATATGTTAATCAATGCTCTCCTCTGTAAAGAATTGTAAATCCCTGGGAACCTAACCTAATTGATATGTTAACCATTGTTGCCCTCTACAAATAACAGATGTGGTGCTAAAATAAGCTGACAAAGGATTGTTAATTAATTCTAGACTTCTCTGTCCTCTGCTAAGGGAAACATTTCCTTGGCAGATTTCCTGATCTATGCCCATAACCCCTTACTTTGTAAACTGTGATATCTACCAAAATGCTGTAAGTTTTGAAGGGGACACACAGCTTTTGCATACTCCAACTGCACTGTGTCGCTGGGCCCAGGATAAAATCTAACCCAGCTTTTTAAAACATGTCCTGCCCAGTTTTGAACTTGAGGTTGGGCTCTGGGGGGCTCATTTGTGGATTACAAGAGAACTGATTCATGTGTTTGTAGCTGTTAATACCACACTTGTCACTAGGCATGAGGAAAATATTTTTTATAACAAAAAAATGTCACTAAGTAGACTACACTCAGAAAACTACACAATTACAACTGTTGGTGAAGATGTGAAGAAAACTTCCAAGTGGTTAGTGAGTGTCAGGTGGGCAGTCATGTTGGAACATACCCTGACAGTTCCTGAAATTATGAGAGTAACCAGTACTTTCTCATTCCTTTTCTTGGTGTTTCTAAATGAAATACTTTCCAATAAATAAATAATAAAGGAAGATAATTTTGGCTTACTGTTTTTTGCAAGGGTGGGAAATTTATGTCTGGCAATGGTCTTCTACCACAGAGAACTGAAGTTGCACAGCATCACACAGGCAGACTTAAGAGTGCAGGTGTATCCCTGCCTCTCTGATTCCATCTGTCTCTCCTTCTCTTTTCTAGTATTGAATAATGACATGAAAAATAAAACATTTTTTACTTTAATTGTGGCCCCTCTTGCAAATGTTACACAAAAGACAGACCCAGAGACAGTGTTGAATTATCTTATTATAAAACTGCCTTAAAGAAAACAAAAGTTTCTACTGTACACAGTATATTAGCAATTCATAGGTCTTGGGAAATAAGAAATAAGGAGAAAGAGTTTCCTTAGAAGGCAAACAAAATATTGTATATGGACCAGATTGTTGAATATGTATATTTATAAGTGAATGAATAAAATGGTGAGAAAATTTTAGCAAAACTGGGAGAAAAGTTAACACCCAATTGATGATAAATTCCAAAATAATTTGGAGAGGTATTCTAAGTTCAATTAACAATAAAGGATGAAAGGGAAGCAGCAGAGATGAGGGACAGCTTTGAGAAAAGGAAAGTAAAAAAAATCTAACCCATTGTAACGCATTAAAGGAAAGTCAATACAATAAGCTAAATTATGCCCAATTAGCATGGAAACTAAATAGCTCTCAAGCATTTTAATCTAAAGGTCAGAACACACTAAACGTACAGAGGAATCTAAATATCTATTAAAAATTGACTTGCAGAGGAAATGGAAAAAAAAGAATGCCTAAAACTGGAGGCATAAAAAAGAGAAAAACTATAAAGAAGCAATTAAATCTCATTATGAATCCATGAAACTTGTCAAATCAGAAAAGGTCCAGGATTGACTGTGAAAGAAACAGAAACTAAAGCCCAGGGTGGTGGTATAGTAAGATTTTAAACAATACACTATGTACCAGGAAGGAGGCTCCTAAGCATTCATGGCATGTTCTCAAATCTTGCTTCCAGAGAAGCAATTAGGAGTGTGTTCTTTGTTGCACCTATAACAGTGACAGAACTGGAGAAGCCTGCTCTCCCATAACTCTGGAAAGGCAAGTAAAATGCTATGAAGACAAATATTGGAGTCCTTGTGAGGAATTACACCTACACACAGCAGTGCAAAGAAATAAAGAAAGTAATATTGAAAGAATTAAAATACAGGATGAACAATCTAAAACATGCCCATTTGGGCACAAAAATACTACATGAGGTTGGAGTGTAGTTCAGTGGTAGAGCACATGTAGAGTGCTTATTTATATCTAGGGTGTGCAGCCAGCATACAAAATTTACATGAAGCCATGGAGTATAATCTAATCTTGATGCTAAGTGGCACAATATGGAAAGAAAATTCTTCTCCAACAGGTTTCTCAAGCAGAGCACTAGTGATATTTAGGCACAAGATTTCTTTCTAAAAAGGTCTGTTCCATTTCTTATGTGACATTGTTCAACATCTTTGAATGCCACTCCTAAAATGCTTCTAAATCTTCCTCATGACCTATGTCATGATTGCAAGAAAAAAGTTGAAACATATTTATAGCTTTTCTCAAGTGCAGAATTAGTACTGCTGGAAATGACTGACAGCAGATGCAGTGGACACAGCTCCTGAATGACAAGGTACAAGAATGGGCAAAGACCTCTATAGCTGCTAAATTTCTATCTCTGCACCTCAAACCCAGGCTCAGTGAGTCTGTCCAAAGTACTCTCTGCTTGTTCTTGCACACCCTCTCCTTGTCCTTACCAGCTGGGATACATTTCAGGTGTCACTAGTGTGAAAAGCTACAATAGCCTCCACTGTTTGATACTTTATGATGACACCCACAGGAAGCTATGGACAGACTAAACTCTGCCTTGAACTGAAGCTGGTGCTGAGTCTCAGCTGAATCACAGGCCCTTCTCAAGACCACCTGCAGTATACCCACATAGAGTGGGCAGGTCAAGCGAACTCAGGGGAATTTCAGAGATTGCAGTCTTTTTTGACTTATGGGACATGTAACAAAGATTCCTGGTCATCTCTTTTCCCAGAGAGATATATGTCACCAGCAGGGGAAAAGAGCCTTAGAAGTCATAGTACTAGACAGCAATGCCTTCAGCCCATTAATGTTATACAAATGAAAGTGGGCTTCCATGAGCAGGCAAACTGGCATGGAAAGACAGTTTACCCAAAATTAAAACAGAAAAGTTTCCAAAACCAGCACAAATTAGAACTAACAATGGAAGTGTTTTTTCTTCAGTCAGGCCCATGGTTGATGGTTTGTGTTCAAACTGCTCATGTCTGATCATTGAAAATCTCTGCCTTATCACCTTGTTAGCGTCATGCAAGCCACACAGTGTGAACAGAGGGGGGGGGCATCTCATAAGGATCATTATCATCAAAGCTACTCAAATCAAAGAAAAAAACCAAAATACATAGTGTTCCTTTCTCCAAATACTACTCATGTTGTTCTTCTGATACAATTGCTTTGGGGAACCTCAATAAAACAGCACTCAAAACAAGAAACTATGATGAGTATCATATTCTACAGAAAGTTTAGGGGCTGGGGGTTTAGCTCAGCGGCATAAGCACCTGCCTTGCAAGCAGGCGGTCGTGAGTTTGATCCCCGGTACCAATAAAAATGAAAAAAGACAAAAAAAAAAAAAAAGAAAAAAGAAAGTTTAAGAGGACTTGAAGGAATGAATCTAGTGATACTACTGGAGTTGGAAAAACTTAACATGATCAACCCAAAGGAAGTTAAAAATAAAATGTGTTGACAGTGTACAGGATATATCTAATCAAGCAAACATTACTTCTACACATCGGATCCTTTAAACCTGCTCAACAACTTACTTAAATTGTGTTTGGGGAAATATATATATATCACATAATCTAAATTTCATACTAAAATACTAAAATCTCATGGACTTCATTGAATAGAGCCCACTGCAATCATTAGTTGTTCGGCAGCAGGACACTGATGCTGAAACATCAGAGAGCAGTGACTCATGATTGCTGTCCTCCATCATGAGCAAGTATTGTACCATACATCACTAGTGAACAAAATGAGTAAAATAGAAAAGTAAGATTTGCATTAAAATTTTTTTCTGTATTTTTCAAAAGATTTTTTATAGGGCCTAGCAGATGTTAAAAAAGTTACTGTGTATTGACGATAAATCCCAGGATTCATATTTTGTATTGAAAGAGGGTCATACTCAATTCTTCAGGCCAGTTCTTGTATCACTTCCTGTCACAGTCCCCAAGTGGCTGAGAGTAAAGTTGTGAATTACCACACATCACTGATGTTTAGTTTACTCAAACTTTGAAATCTTGGTATATCATGGTGTATAAAAAACATCCCAATCTTAAACTGTCATAGTGACACATGTGCATTATCCCCACATTAAATGAGTTACAAATACTATCAAAAATAACACCACCTAGGTCAACTTAGTAGGACCTGATCTCAAAAATATTTTTACAGAATTAAAAACTTAGCTCAGAGCAAAAAAACAGAGCAAAATTCTAGTTTGATACTTATACAAACTCACACATACACATATAAAACCAAGTATGTGGAGTGTGGTGGTGTACATCTGTGGTCCCAGCTCTGAGGAGGCTGAGGCAAGAGGGTTGCCGTGAGTTTCAGGCCAGCCTGCACTTCAAAGTGACATCCTGTTGAAAAAAAATTGATAAACAAGTTAAAAATCATCAAGAACAGCTGGAAAACTTTGATACAATGGGGATACTCCCATCATTCTACTTCAGCTATGGTGTCCAAACTAATTTTAAACCTAAAACAAAGCCAGATAGTTTCCTACTTTCAGATATTGCCTTGAAAATCATTAGATGAACTGACTAGTGGGAGCAGAAAGCATAGTTACCTATTATTAAATTCCCATCTTTTCTTCAAACCTGTGACCCTTGCCCATTTTACGGAACAAGCAAGCACACAAGTGTTCCTTCTTGTTCATCCTAAGAACAATATGAGTTTCAGCGATCTTCTCTATTGTAGATATTACTACTGGCATGTCATTCTCTCCTACCTCTTTTCTACTCTCCTTTGATCCATCCTAAACAAAAATCACTTATACCTAACCACTGATATGCTTCTAATTCAGCTTCTCCCCTACTCCTAATTCAGGATTCTCCCTTACTCCAGTACTCCTTTGAAAGTCTAACTTAAGCAGGTTTTGTATTTAAAAAATGTTAAAAATTTGGCCAATAACTGTAATCCTCCCCCCGTTTTTTTGGCACCAGGGATCAAACTTATGACTGTGCGCTTGCCAGGCAGGCAGGCGCTTATGCCACTGAGCTAAATCCCCAGCCAGAACTATAGCCCTTAATACAGACAGATGCCCTGGCTCCTTTCCACTCCTACACATATCACACATACATGTCCATGTAAATGCCCCAATTCAAGGTATCTCTCAATGTGGCTTTAATAGGCAACCCCTTCTGGAAATTGTCTCTGGCAGGTACAATTTCCTCTTCACTTGCCAAGACTTTAACACCCACTACATTTTCCTCAGCATTCTCTGTGTAGAATTCAAACTGTCAAACTGTGAGTGGACTTATCATCTAAATAAATTTTCAAATGTCTTTGGCATTGCTCTGCATGGAACTCAGGAGTACACTGAGTGTTTGGCAAGTGCTCTTCCATTGGGGCATGTCATCACATGTTTTTCAATTCTCAGGACCTTTCTTAATACCTAATATGTGTTGAGAAATGTAGGAAGATAGTAAAATTTAGAAGATCACTACAAAGATTAAAAAGCAAAGCTTAAGAAGGAGTTCTGTGTATGAGACCCTGCATCACAGATATTTACATCCTTTAGACCCTCCAGCTGTGCTGCTGACAGAAATGAAACCAAGGACCTAGCTCACCACCACTGCATCCACCTCCAGCTTGCATCTGATCATGGATCTCCCCAAGAACCCTGCTCTTCCCAGAATAGTGCAGATGCAAAGGCAGCAGTGGGTTTCTCAAGAGGGCATTCAGGCTGGTAGTGTCACAGTGGGCAAAAGGACCCTAGAACTTAGAAGTGGCCTTGCTCTACCAATGTTATAGGCAGCTGAATTAAATAGAAATATTATAGGCAGTCAGAAAGTGCTAGGCCTCAAAGGAGCCAGTGCAGAAGACCAGATACCTTGCAAACAGGGAGGTAACAAAACACTTCCTGTTGTGGCTCAGATCTCAAAATAAATAGAATCACATCCTAAGTGTAAACATCAGGAATTGATATTCTAAATCGGTATCCATCACCTTTCAGTAGCCAGAAGAAGCCACTA